GTCTCTGTCTCTGTCTCCTTTCATCGCCTGATGAAGGTTAATATTCAGGAGGATGCCTATATGTTTTTCTTTGGGTTCTCCTTCTTATTTAGCTTCTCTAGGATCGCGAATTATAGGCTCAATGTCCTTTATTTATGGCTAGAAACCAAATATGAGTGAGTACATCCCATGTTCCTCTTTTTGGGTCTATCTTACCTCACTCAGGATAGTGTTTTCTATTTCCATCCATTTGTATGCAAACTTCAAGAAGTCCTTGTTTTTTACTGCTGAGTAGTACTCTAATATGTATATATTCCATACTTCATCCATTCTTATTCTAAACTGTACATTTATGTAATTTTCTATATGTAATAATTTATGATTATAATATTATATTAATTAGATGGGGACTTATAATTATCCTGAGTACAAATTTTTTTCAAGCTGTTATTCGTGTTATTTATTAGAGACAAAGCCTTAAAACTTTGAAAGCAAATATAAAACTATAAGATCACAATTATCCAAACACATCTCTCACTCTAACACACTGAAGTGTGATCAGAAGATAAATCAGTGGAATAGAAGTGGGAAGTGACATTTTAAGTTCTCTGTACTTTGCTGATCATCATCATGAAAATAAAACATTTGAAATTTATATTTAGAAACAAGATATTTGTTAGAAAAGATTTCTGTCATAGTGTCACAACACGGAAAACATGCTGCTTTTGTTTCAAATAAATGCAAAATTATTCAAACCAGAAAAGTAGTACAAAAGAATATCGTGGTACTAGGCTAATGTTCTTCAGACATTTTTAATCAAGGTACTTATTCTGAAAAAAAAATCAAGATTAAGGGGTTTTACCTTTCTATTACTATGACAAAATACCTTATACATTTTTGTAAGGAAGGAAAAAAAAATATTTTGGCTCATGCTGCAGAGGACTCAGTCCATGCTCACTTGGCTTTATCATTTCAGCAGGAATTCTTGTGAAACTGAAGGCGTAAGTCACGAACAAGGCCACACCAGTTTGGAGTTATGATTAATAGGGTGTTATTTATTTAAAGGGGAAAACTTACAGATCACCGTCCCAGACAACAGCCATCTGCACAACCAGGAAGGGAGTCTAGTCTCCGGCGGAGCAGGAAGTGAAGAGAGCGAGCAGAGGAAATAGCCGCTTTTTTAAAGGGAGAGAGACCACGCCCCAATGGGCTGGTATCACAGCAGCTATTGGTTGGAGGGGCGGAAGGACCTCCCGCAACATGAAACAAATGGTTAGTAAGTTTTTTCACACAAAGATACCCATGAGTTATACAAAAAGCTACTCAGTGGTTCCAATTGTTCATTGTTAAACATTTAACAAATGGCAAAAGCAGGTAAACACAGCTTCTAAGTACAGTTTAGTGTTGGTCTTCTCATTCAAGTTCAAAGGTTCTGCCTTTAGAATTCAAACTCAAACTGGATGGTGGTGGCTCAAGCCTTTAATCCCAGAACTCGGGAGGCTGAGGCAGGTGGAACTCTGTGAGTTCAAGGCTAACCTGGACTACAAGAGCTAGTTCCAGAATAGGCTTCAAAGCTCAGAGAAACCCCATCTCGGTAAACAGAAAAAGATAAATAAAAATAATTTAAATTCCTTCAACACATCTGCATAAAAGTCTCTTATCAGTTCTGTACTAGAAATCGGGATTGATAAACAGATTCAGAAACACAGGTGGACTAAAATGAGTTATACTATCAGGTGATATATAAAATGTCAGGCTGGCTTACATTGCAAACATGCAGGAGTGTTTTAGTTGCACAGTGGACTAATAGAATGCTTCAGTGACAGGATAGTATTTTGTCACATTATGGACTGAACTAGTTCTGCAGCCTGAAATAGATAGTGCCTGTCAGAAGAGACACAGCTTCCTCTCACTGGCTCACTTCAGGCCATCCCTTATTCACAGAACTTCTGGTTGCAGGGGGATAGGGCAGCTCGTCAATATGTAACCAGCTCCTTTAAGAACATAGGAATATCCTGTTCTCACCAGCTACTCTAGTTCCCTGTAGTTGGCGGTGAGCCAGGAAAGCGGTTGAGGAAGCTTTTGTGTAGCTACTTCTTTAACTGCTCCTGCTACCAAGAACAGATCAGGTATGTTTCCTAGGACCCTCTTGGGATTCTCCCTCAGCAACCTGGACAAATACAAACCAATTCATCTTAGCCTCTTTTGCCAGGGTTTACTGTGGTTTTGAGGATTTAATGCCTCTCTAAAAATACATTATATTCAGGGACTGTCTTTTTAAATCACAAAGGTAAGGTCCAGCGGGTATATTTGGAAGCATCAGATCATTATAGACATAGCTGGGATGGAATTTATGAAATGTAGCACCAGTCAGCAAGTGAGATTATGAGTGTTTCCTAGATGGATAGATATTAATCAGCATGCACCATCGCCCTTTGCCCTCAGAAGTTTATTAAACCAAAATGATCACGTAGCTACTCCTATTTTGCATTTCTTACATTCTGAGCAATGAAAGACAATGCCAAAGTAGTCTCTACCATGTTACAGGGGATATTTCTATTTAACTCACCTTTCACTACTCCTTCTCTATTTCCACAGAAAGCTTTCCCCTTATGAACTTTGACCCTGAAAGCAGGGATAGTGACACACACTATTAGTTTGCATGTTCTGTATATCTTCCATCATCATCAACCTTCCATGACTTCAAATTCATCAGGGTGACATTCTATGACATAAATTATTTTGTTTTACCATTCACTTCCCAGAAGGAGAGCCCACTTATATTGATTATTATATAATTTAATTCAATCTTCTCAATGTTCTTCACTTTTTTCATTGTATGAGTGACAACTTACAATTATGAAAATAGCTTCTAAAGAAGATACTTTAATTCTAATACTTTTTTCCAAAAAAAACAATTATCTCATTCCTTTTTATTTAGTGTATCTTTTTCTTTATAGGAGAGGGAGCTTAATGGAAAGCCTTATGATGTAAATAAACATTGGAACTTTGTTTCCTAATTTGTCTTTTTTTTTAAACCAATATACCTAATTCAACAATAGGTATACTCCCCCATCCAAAAAAAAAAAAAAAACTGTAAGTACTTGTTTTATCCATTGTCATTTGTGTTTTGCTAGACACCTGCTAAGACAATCATCTCAGTTTTCAACTTTGCACTTTTCTACAGAGATGGAGAATGACTAGGAGATTTTCAAATGCTTATAGGCCATTGTCTCTCCTGTCTTACTAGTTTTTGTTTGTACCCTTTGGACTATTTTGAACGATATGTCTTTTGAACTACATGTCTTTTGTTAGTGATGGACAGCTCTTTTCTATTTACAATAAATGCGGAAGTATCTCCTAAGTCTATGGCCAGTACTCTAATGTCATTTACAATACATTTGTCATCCAGTGTTTTGTTGAATGCTATCATATGTCTTAGTGGTTTTCTAATTCTTTTTCAGTATTTTTGGACTTTTTAACATAGTTTCTGGTTTTCTTTGTTTCCTTGGCTTCTCGAAATTAATAAGCTGAAATCCAGGACTCCCATGTGACTCTATTTGGAGATACAGGCTGTGTAGTTAAGATTTGCAGAGACTATATTTTTTTCAGATTGTTATAACAGAAAATTGTCTTAAACAACCATCAGAATTCTGAAAGATTAGAAGCATGAGAACATGGTGCCAGGAAAGTAGCTTTATTATGATTTCTAATGTCTGTGTTTGTAGGTGGCTGTCATTTTATGCTCTATTTATTTGAGTTTTTCAGTAGATGCAGAGAGAAATTGAATAATTCTTTGGTGTTGCTTAGACCAACTATTCTTTCATTACAGAACTTAAATCTTCTGAGCTCACATAAGCTTACTCATTTCTCTAAAGATTCTATCTTCAAAACATTGCTTTCTTGCTTCAAAATGGGAGTTACAGTGCATCCTAGGCAATCTCATGCAGGCATTACAAAATGCATGAGATCAAGCCCTTTAAGAAGAAGAAATATTGATTGACCTAATGGTATGGGAGACAGAATTCCAAGAGTATGGAAACAACGCTTGGTAAGGACTTTGTAGTTATATCATAAAATACAAAGGTGATAGGCATTACATGGCAAATCCTATCATGTATTTGAGTTTGGGTTCTGCTTTCTACTGAAAAGCCACTTGCTAATCCCACCACAAGTGTCTCACCCTCCTAATCTCATTTCCTAAAGTTATCTCTCAAACAGACCCTCTTCAAATCCAATCAGAGTAGATATTTTGGGATTAATATTCATGTGAACTTTCTTAGATTAGAATCAAACCCTGACAGGAGAAAACGCAAAGACTCAGTTCCTTAAAATAGGATCATATGAAAAACTGTTTCGTGACCTTATAAAGAGATCCATTTTTATAATTTTCTGTATGTTTTCTGAAATTCTGGAAAGAAAGGGTATGTGAGTCAGAAAAGCTGTTTGCCAGCCAAGGAGCGAGTGAAGAACCAAAACCAAATTTTGGTCTTGGATATTCAGAAAGCAGAACTATGATAAAACCACTTCTAATTCGAAAACTTCCATCATTGACAGACCTACAACATGGCCCAAGCAAGCACTCTCTCCTGGTTTTCAGACCGTTTAGTTATACTGATTTTTGGAGGAATCCCAAAATTAATTACCTTCAGTATATATAATATAATATAGCTCTTGAGATGTCATGGTCCTTTTTGTTACAAAACACATTTCCTTCTATGTTGTTGATAGGGGATTCACAAAGTAAGTGGCGGTGAGGCAGACACTTAGGTGACAATTTATTGACAGCAACTTTTAACTAATACAGAACAAAAGCCTGGATCCTCTATTTAATATTTTCCTAAGGAGCTAATTCCTACCAACAGTCACCCGAGCTTGGGAGTAGATATATCCCAAGTGCAGCTCAGCCATGGCTTCTTTGTAGCCCTTCTTAAAATTTTCCAACCAAAAATTCAACTGAGCAGTGCAGATTACTTGTTATGGAACACCTAAGTGACACTTTTGTTTATGCTACAGAACATAACTTTAACTGTGTAAAGGTGTGTTACATGTGTTACATTGTTTTGCCTTGCCTGCCTAAGGTACCTTCGTTGGTCTAATAAAAAAGATTAATGGCGAACAACTAGGCAAAGAAAGGATAGGGAGGGCTAGCTGTCAGGCAGAGAGAATAAGTAGGAGAGAAATCTAGGCTCCAGAGGGAAAAGAGAAGGAGAAGAGGAGAGTATAAGGGAGAAGAAGAGGACCCCTAGGGCTAGAAGCCAGGCAGCTACCAGCCAGTCCGACACTAGAGAAAGCAGAAAAGTAAGACAATGAGAAAGAAAGAAAGCGGGGTGTGTGTGGGGGGGGGAGGGTGGGAGGAGGCGGAAATTTTTTTAATTTTTTTTTCTTTTCAAGAAAAAAAAAGAAAGAAAGGTAGAAAGCACTGAGGCAAAAGGTAGATAAAGAGGAAAAGGCTGATTTAAATTAAAAGAGCTAGCCAGAATTGAACCTAAGCTAGGCCAAGCATTCATAACTAATAAGAAGTCTTGATTTGGGAGCTGGATGGTGGCCCAAAAGAAATAGTCTTCTATAATTCTAGTTTACTAATGTTGGGTAATTAATATACATTGTTTTTAGCTAGCAAATCTTAGAGTAATTTCCATATATAAAACAACATCAGTGACTTTCAAACTAAACATTGTATTGTTGCCTTAGGTGTGTTGCAGGGCTATTACCATACATAAAGCACTATTATTATACTAGTTACAGTATTTGCCTATAGTACTCAAGTTAAACTCTCCAAGGGCAGAAGTTAACATCTGACTAGTCTATCCATAACTCTAGCAGAAGGTCAGTTCAAATTTGACTTCTGTTCTGTTAGGGAGAATGGTTACAAAAATGTGTGTCTTAACATTATCTGTCAATATCAGAATTTTCACTTGCTATAACAAGATGATAAATACCTGCAAGTCATTATCTTTACTATAAATAAACCAAATTATGCATTAATTAAACTGTGAATTTAATATTATTGTCACTGTATTTGGTGGCAAAGCTTCTTCCTTTATAGGATTTGAAAACTCATGCCTCAACTTTTCCAGAGTAACTTTATCTAGATTTGTCAATATTTTCCCAGTGTGGTTTTATGCAAATAAAAGGGGGGGGGGAGGAAGACATCTTTAAGAAATACTTAACAAATAGTTTGGACTAAGCTATCTACTTCACAAATTATTAAGCATTTTGCTTCCAGTTTCAATTAGTTGATTATGTCC